ACACTGCATGGTTCAAAATTGGGAAGGGCATACGCCAGGGATGCATCCTATCTCCATACCTTTTCAACCTATATGCAGAACAGATTATCCAGGAGGCGGGGCTCTATGAGGAGAAATGTGGGGTCAAGATCGGTGGACAATACGGTGACATATCCAGGGGATATTAATTTAAAAGATATAAACCTGAGTAAGGAGAAAATGAAACCAATTTACCGGGGGGGCGGGGGACAGTTATCACTTAGAATCAAGAAAAGGTTGCTTAATGGTCCAAATCCCTCCAAGCTTTTAATATATCAAACAAATTAGTTGGATAATTACTGTCAGCTATTGAAGTCTGTCATAGTTGTAGCCTCATCTTACAAGTCCTTTTCAATAAGTGAAAAACAAATAAAGAAAAACTTGGAATTGCCTGTGGGAATGTGCATCTTTGCTGTAGTTAGCCTTTACAGACGTTTGGAAGTATTCTTATGTGTCAGCAGCCATCGAGAAAGTTAAGATTGGCATTTACCAAAATTCAGTCATATCTCCAGAATGTGGAAAGTGGAAGTTAAGATTGTTAAGAACTTTGTGATATGACTAGATATTTCATTCCACAGACAGGGGAGACATTTTGGTATATTTAAGTAAAATGTGGCATATAAGGTGATTTTATAAATTTTGGATTTGAGAAATAAAAACCAAAAGTACAAGGGAAAAAAATGTTGCTTTCATGTTGTGTGACTGTCTTATTTAACGAGTGCTTCCATAACAGAGATACTAAAACGGAATGGTCTTAACAAACACAAATTTGTTTACTTATCGTTAGGAGGCTAAATTTAAAAAGTTCTAGGGGAAACCACCCCCCTGTCTCTCTTAGTACTGGAGGAAGGTCCTTGTTTCCTCTGGGATCTGTAGGCTAAATGTTCCTTGGAGAACTCCATGTGGCTTTGCCTTTCCCAATGTCAAGAAGTTTTCCAGAGCAGTCCCTGCATTCATAAAAGAACACATTCCATTCATGACGATTCTCTGTTGTATGGAGATACCACTCTTCACTCACCTTCTTTCCCTTTGACCTCTTATGAAATAAAAGAGGTTACAGGCCACATCTAGGGACGTCCCTTCCTTCCTTTCTTTCTTCCTT